CGCCCCCACCCCACCCCGCACCGGGCGCCACCGGGCCCCCCGTCGCCGGGCACGCCCCCACTCCAACGGGCAACGGGCGTCCGCGGGCGCCCAGCCGGCGGGCATGCCCCCACTCCAATCATCGCCCCACCACGTTTAAAACTATTTAGTTTAGTTGGCGCCATTTAATGATATCATTACTTTTGTAGAGAAGATAGTTTTGTAGCGAAGATATTTTTGTAGAGATGCAAAAAAGATAGAGTAACAAAATATATTCCGTCGTTGGAGCTTATACTTGGCGCTTTTTTTACCTTTTTTTAAAAAGGTAAGTTTTTTAGGTGATATCACTCCTTTTGTAGTGTTATCTAAATATACATCAATTATATCAGTTGGGTCGATTTTTTAAAAAAGAACTTCCCCGTGTAAAACTACACACATTTAATTACATATTTTTAGTCGCATGAAATATATAAATTACCATCGCTCATCATGTGGACATTTTTTGGAACATAAGAAAATAAATTTTCTAGCTTAATAAATCTCCAAACAGGTTTCTTAAATACCTCAAATGCGCAGTAATGCCTATTAATAACTTTGGTATGAAATTCTGTACATATAAAGGATATTTGGCGCATATTATTAATAGTCATGTAATGAATTTCGCCATAGACAATAGTATTGTCATTCATATGCATAGCTACAACCATACCTTTATGATAAGTAATGCCGTTTACTTTTACCCAAGTATTAAGTACATATTCACATTGGATGTTCCATGGAAGTATATTTTTGAAATCAAGATAATCAGGCAGATCAGTTAATTTTTGACGTAGTACAGGACCCAAATTTAATCGGTCAAAAAATCCTTTATCACTAAGAAATCTATGTGACAAGATAAGTTGATGTTTTAATGCCAAAGTGTACGGGCAATTTCTACGGGATCTTATGGCCTTCGCATTTTCTTTCAATTGCTTGTGTTTCGCTTCGAAACGAAAGCAAGATAAATATTTGAGTGGTCCTAGCCTTCTCAATAATCGCGGGTAATGTACGAGGAAATGGTGTTTAGGTTTTAATGATTCCGCAAAAACTTCTATATATAGCGAATGGTGTTCCGATATTAAAGTTTCAAGCAGTTCAGTTGTTGCAGTGGTAAATGATGAACTCATTATAATATTTATAATTTCCCGCAATACAAGGAAAACTTCCCAAGTGATATTATTTACAGGTACCAGATCGCCAATCAGAATACCAAGATGTTCAATTAAAAAAACCATTTTTGACGCTGAAATAATTAAATTTTGTGCATTAAGAGCGTTACTAGATATTGAGATTGGTTTGTTTTTTTCAAAGCTTCGACCACAATCGAAATGCTGCAAGCGGGCATTAAATGTTTCGAGGGGAAAAAAATGTTCTTTATTTATAAAAAGGTTCAAGATTTTAGCTATTTCGTATCTACATATTCCTTCGAATAAATCATGCATGAGATCAAGCGTTGCATTTTTTATCACATGAAATTTCGGGATTTCATTAAAAACGCATTTAGTTTTCACTCCAGTGGAGTGGTCTTCACAGTCTTTCAGATAATTTTGTTGGGTTCGTAGCAGTTGAATATTTTCTTTTACTTGTTTTCGGCTGTCAATTTTGTTCGCGGTACATATTCTACACATATAATGCGTATTAAAACTTGTTGTGAAACCACAAATTTCGTTCAAACCTAGATTGTCACCAATAATTGTAAACAGAGCAAAATAAATTTTTCGTTGCTGGTCACCGACATCTACGGTTAATCCATATTTCCCAAGATCTGTTACTTGATCAATAATATTACGAAATATTTTCATGTTACCGGCAATCTTGTGATCTTTTGTGTAATGGAGTTGAGCAAGAAATATATTTTCCAACATACTGCTAAATTTATATGGGATACATCCTAATGAAAAATAGATGGCACCAAGTTTTCGTATATTAGCATGTGAACCGAGAGGGTTATTGATCTCAAAATCATCGAAGTACAATATCAACGGAAATACGGTTTTTCCCGCAAATTGGGATTCAATACTCTGCCATAATTCAGCTTGAACGTTAGAAATAACTGCTTCACTAGATTTACATTCTTCAATGTGTTCTAAAATTGAAGATAAAACATCTGGCATTTCTAAGAATCGTTTTAGAACCTTTTTTATCGATATCACCTGAATTTCTATGGTTGAAATAACTGCTTTGCGTTTCCCCTTGACAAAGTGAGAACTTATCGATGAATGAATTTTGACTGATTGTGGTTTTATCAGAATATTTGCATTTTTTAAATATTTTAAACTGCGATAATCGGATTTGACATTATTAAAACCGTGTTGCAATATTGTTAACATCTTGGTAAGATCTGAAAGGGCCTGTTCATGATCTTTAGAATTACACCTTTGCTTCAAAATCGGTATAAAAGTTAAATCGTACAAATTCTTCAATTTATCAATCAAAGTTGAAACAAACGATCGTGTGAGACTCAACTCCGAATAAAGTTGTGAAATAAACAATAAGATTTCTTTTTTTACTATAGAATCAAAAGCTTCGATATTGAGAATTGCAGACTCGTGAAATGAGCATTCCGGTTGTGAGGATTGAATTGTATCCGCGAACATAAGATTAGGACAACTCAAACTTTCTAATTCTGTAAGACCAGAAGAATCATTTTTAGAATTTCTATCCTGACCGATTCGTGTTTCGCAAAACGATCCTAAATGCCTAAAAAAAAAGTGTCTTTTGTACGAATAAAAACTGTTGAAACTTCTTATACATCCATCATAGCGACAATAGCAGGCTGACGATATTAAAGTCTTGTGACGTAGTTTGACGTGTTTAGTAAGACAAGTTTCGGAATATAGTTTTGATTCGCAAAATGGGCACGGAATCATTTTTAGCAGTGTGTTTTTGAACGATAAGTTACAACGAAACAAAAAGAAACAAAACTATTTTCCCTACAAGCTTTGTTTTACGTTATTTTTAAGATTATAAGTTATATTGAAATCAGACGAAATAAAAAAATTGCTTCGCAGACTCTTTCAGTGATTAATATATTTATCTTATAATTAAAATTCCAACAAAACTTTTTTATAAGTTCTTCCCAATAAACTCAAAATTGTAACGAAATGACAAAAAATAAAATTTTTAATCACATGGAAGTTCTTTTATATTATATTATCCTCTTCAAAAACTAAAAATTGGAATAAAGCAATGAACACAAACTTGTTTTGATTAAAAAATGAAATAAAACAATGGAAAGAATTTGTTGGCGTCTATGTGTCTTTATCTTGAAATGCCATCATATCACTTATTGCTTCTGTTATATTTGGAGTCATTTTATCGAAACAATTTTCGTAACTATATAAAACTCTTTGAAATAGCAACCATATATGAGTGCTTTCGATCGGGTATTTAATATCAAAGACTTGAAAGATTTTATAACATAAATCTATAGCTTGTATGGTTGACGGTACCTTGTACAAGGTGTCATCAACTGATATAAAAATATCAGAAATATCCGCATTGGATGGACCGACAGCGATGATGAAAGGCTGCAATGTAATTCCTAAACTTGCGGCTGTTTTTCTCCTTTCTTCTTGTACTTTCGTGATGTCTGCTATTAACTGCAAAAAAATTATATTATAGTATGGAGGTAATCTTCTTAGTAATATTAGTAATCTTATTATCCATATTAACGAATATTAAATATCATGATACTTACTGTAATCGAAATAACTATGCTATCTTTACATTCGGGTATCGATGGTTTCCATTGATTCTTTTTTAAGCGAATTCGGCTTTTAGGTGGAAGTAGATGTGGGAGAAGTTTCAATTGTTGAACAATTTTTGCATCTTTTGGATCAAATGACATGAATTACACAAGATGAATGTGATGTATATTTGTTTTGAGGCAGATATACTTACTGTCGTTTAATGTGCATTGAATCAACTCCAGTAAAGCTTGTGCGTTGCCATCATCCTTCTTCGGTGGCCGAACAGCTAAAATTTTCTTAAAAAAAGTTCTCCAACTTTCCAATGTTAATTCTTGCGTTGGTAATTTTAAATAAGAATAATCCTCTTCGATTAATGTGTATGCATTTGGATGTTTGAGAATGGGCCAGCTTTCAAAAATTTGATTCAATTTCAAATCACGGTTTGACCTTATATTTTTTCGTCGATATTCAGCCGTCAATTTCCACTTGGCAACAACAATTTCCCATGGCATTGAGTGACTTTGCAACCACACCTTAGCTTCGAGAATAGCTTCTGTAAGATAATGAAGAAATTAGGATGTAAATATTCGATTAATTTAATAAGTATAATAGAATATAATTTTAAATTTACATACATATATATGTATATATATAAAGAAAAGAACTATAGGCTACCTTCATCAGAGGATGAATCCGAACTTTCAGTTTTATAATCCTGTCGATCACCTAATGGCTTCCACTCATCAATAAGTTTCAAGGCGCGTATTTTATTCCGATACTTGTCTACTAATTTGCCACGTGAAATTACAGATTTCCCAACTCGCGATAATTTTTTCGGAATTGGTGGAATATAGTACGTAGTTGTAGCTTCGGTGGGAAAAAGTTTTACTATTTCTTCTGCTATGTATAAGAAATCTTCATTTCTCAACCTAAAATAATAAAATAAACGAACAAAAATTAAAACCTATATGTACATATATTTAAAAATACAAATTTTTACGCGTTTTAAAATGTAAAATGAAATTACTGTGTGGTTTCATTCAATAATTCTGTCAGAATTATGTCAACAATTAGCATTCTAAATTGTCGCGTCAAAAACTTAGATTTCTTATAGGATTTCACAATCGCCTTTCCTTGGATATTCGTATGTAAAATTTTTTTTATATTAATAGTTTTTGTTCTTAAAGCATATGTGAGTTTCCCCGTAAAAGCGTTCTGTCTTGTTAAAGTATAATCCTCAGATGAACTTTGTGATGAAAAATTCTCTGAAATCTCTGTTTCAGATGTTCCTTCACACGAATTAGTAACCGGTACCTAGTCAGTACATATAATAAAAGACAAATATTATTCAAAAATGAAAGTAATTCTTCGAAAATTGTATTGTTTGCTTGACAGAGGAAGATTTATGTATACGTACTTCTACAGTACGTGTTTTCTCTTTTTTAAATACTGCTGTCCACTTCTTTAAGAATTCGAGTCTTAATCCAATTTGAGGTATCATTTCTCTGATGAGCTCTGGGGTGAGATCAAGTAAATTTTCATCGGTAATTGCATTTTCTAAAGATTAAAAACATACGTAACACCTCAAAAAGTGAAAACAATTAATACTATAATATAATATAATTCAAATAAAAATTTAGTGGACAGAATCGGATGTTTAATTGGTTGAAACAATTTCGTTCAGGTAAGCAAGGTTTTTGATTGTTGACAAAACATTTTTATTTTTAACTTTTTACTTTACCACATTGTCTGAGAACGCACACAGATAGAATTATAAAGCCGGGAATATTTTACTTAAATGCTCGACGTTACTACACTGGAAAACAAAAGTATTCTTTCGCATTTTCCGTATTAAAACGGTCGATTCAGATTACAGTAAATCCTGCTTGTTAACAATATATAAATGAAACGTGACAAATTGTTACATAAATAAATGAAATACATAATCTAACAATAAGTTATAATTTTCGCAGTATGTATAAACCAGTTTCGCGTAAAAGAAAAGGTAGAACATTTTAAACAAACGTTACATAAAAGCAGAATAATAAAGAAAGTTACACGTACCTTTCAATATTTTTATGATGCTTGATTCCACGGAATCTTTCATTCCCCACGAGCGAATGTTTTCCATTATCTTTATTCCATCCAACTTTATTCCGCAGTAATGAAGATATGAAACTTGCAACTGCTTGTAACATGCACACAACTGCGAAGAACTCTACGAAGCGTCGTGTCCGTGTGAGCTCGGCGGCCACAGCGCTTTGGCTGACAATCGACTATCGAAAAGAGTAGATTTCTTTTATTCTGCTGTTGCTAAGTCGCGCGAGATGATAGCAGCCGAAAATGCGTGGTCTAGGTTGCGTTCGAAAAATATCACCCGAGTGTCCCACCCAGTGAGAAATAATTCGTCGATCGATGTCAAAATGATGTCGAATCGACGTCAATTCGCCGGTGTCGATGTCGATTCGACGTCGTTTCGACATCGATCGACGAATCATTTCTCACTGGGCAGTGTACATTTTATCCTTGTTTAAAATTCGGTGAGCAACAAGGATAAAATGATTCCCATCGCGTCCCATCGTGGGGAATGAAAGATTCCGTGGAATCTTTCATTCCCCACGAGCAAATAATATATGAGGGGTGGGGACGCGAGACGCGGGAGCGGCGACGTGAGCTCGCCGGCAACGGCGCGCTGTCCCCCCCCCCCCTTGCCTGGCAATATCGATCGCCGGGCGGTCACATCTCGCCACGCGCTCGAATTATCTTTATTCCGCAGTAATGAAGACACGAACTTACACGAACTGCTTGTAACATGCACACAACTGCGATGCTGCGAACTACGAAGCGTCGTGCGTGACTGCACGGCGATCGATATTGCCAGGCGAGGGGGGGGGCACGG